ATTTTTATGTATGATTTACTTTAAAATTAAAGTTTTTTTTTCAAATAGTTAATTTTATTTTTTTTCTAATATTAAAATACAATTATATATTTTGAATTTTAAACAAAAATTGGTCAATATTTATAAATATTTATAAATAATTAAAATATTTGTAATTTATTTTTTAAAATAGTAAGTTTGTAATTAAAACCTATTTATACAAAAAGTAGTAATTATTTTTTTTAAAAATTTAATGACTGATCAAAAAATATTTGATTTAATTATATACTGTATTAAGCTATTGTTTGACATAACAAACTGTATAATCAATTTTTATTTCAATCCAAATTGTTTATTATTATATAATTTATTATACAAATATCTAAATGTTATCAAATTATATTTAAAAACAAAACAAAAAATTATGATTAAATCAATAAATTATTGTATTTTTCTGAGAATTATCATTTAAATAATATTTATTATTGTAATAAAATATCAAATAGGATAATTAAAAATTTAAATTATGCATAATTACTAATCAAAAACAAAACAAAAATTAAATCTAATAATAGGAGGATATAATATAAATTTTACTACAGTATATATATATATATATATATATACGTGTATATACAATGTATATATATATTGTATTATGAAACTTGTATATTAAATTATAGCAAAAAAAATTACAATACAGTAAATTTAAATTATCAATACTATAGTAATTGATTTATTTAAAAAAAACAAAAAAAAATTTTAAATTTTATTTTTGGTTAACATTATATGTCTCATATATACAGAAATGTTTGATAAATATTATTATATTAATTATACTTATTAGTCATATTAGTCATATTAATAATTTTCATTTTTAACAAATTCTGTATTTTAAAAAAATCAAATAAACAACAGTTTATTGACTACCAATCAATTGGCTTATATAGAGCCCAACAATAGGTCTGACCGATGACCCCTGTCATCGATATAACGGTATATCCCATGCCATCGAGTTTATCAAATACAATACGTGGACAGTCATCAGTATCCCATTTCTCAATGACCTCCCAATAGATAATTAATTAATTAAATTAGGTTTTTTTTAGAAAAAAATAATATTCAAAACAATATATACTAACAATTTTTATCCATTTGTGTACACTTTATGGCATTTAATTTAGCCATAAGTTGGGGGGGGGGGAGGATAGCTAAGCAAGTCGTCCACTAATAGTGGGCCCACATTCCTGTCAATTGTTAAATTTTTAAAAAATGTGTTATTTTTTGTTTGTTTTTTATAAACTAGTTTTTAAAACTTATTATTTACAAATCAAACTTATTTTTATGTTGATATTAGTTAATATGGCATTATTTATTTTTTTAGTGTTAAATTGTGTTTAAAACTAAATGTTACCGAAAAAAAAACTAAAACATAAACAGTTTTTATTGTATTTTATTTTTTAAAAATAACATTTATTATTTGATTTTAAATATAATTGTTTTTATTTATTTATTAGTTGTTGAAAACTCAAAAAGTTGGTGGAAGTGGAACGTAATATGTGAATCGCCCCCTATTAATAATAATGATGATGATGTTAGATATACTGTACAACTGATAGAGAGAGAGAGAGAGAGGAAAGTTATGTCTCATTTGTTTAATATATATATTTTTAAAAATTTTAAATTAACAAATTATATATATATATATATATATGATAATAATAATTAGGGTGATTCTGGCGCCACCCCCCCCCCATTTGACATCAATATGTTATGGGTATTTGGTAGTATAGTGGTAGTAATGATGGTAGTATGGGTCGGGTATACTATATATATATATATAAATATTAAATAAATGTTATATTAATTAATACAATTAAATTGTATGAAATTTTTTTTAATAGAATTTTTTAAGACTTAAATATTTTTGTTGTAATAATTAAAATTGTAAAATAAATTTAACTTTAATGCCATTTATACTGTATATAAGTTATGAAACAAGTAGTGGTTTAATCTCAATGTATAATCTAATAATAATAATTATTATTATTATTATTAGCAGATGGTTGACATATACATGTATAATAGATACTTAAATTTTAAAGTTAATGTAATTATTAATCATTATCTGTATTTATTTTTAAATTTTTTTAAAAAACATTGAATGTATTATTTTTATTTATCCTTACCTTACAATATATAAATTAATTAAAAATACGAATTAATATTTGTATCAATAAACATTTATTTCAATAGTTAATTATTTTTAATTTTAGTATAATAATTTTAAGTTAAAATAAATATATAATATCAAAACACATATATATATATACAATATATTTATATTACAAAATTTATAAAAATTTAATACATAAATGTTTGCTTAAAAATTGTTTTTTAGCAAATATTACATTTATTTTTTATAAGAGTTTAATGACTAGATTTCCACTCTTTTACTCTACATTTGTGTCATAAAAAAATAAAATATATTTTCAATGAAACAAATGACTTGAGAATTGGTTTTTGTTTTAAATAAAATTAATTAATTGAATAAATATTTTTAAAAAAAAATATTTTTTTAAACAAATTAGATTAGTATATGATTTGAATTAAATAATAAAAAATAGTGACAATTAATTATTTGATTATTTAAATAAAATTTAAAATACAATTTTTTTTGTTGAGATTATAAAATATTTGTTAAATAATATTCAGAGAGTGAGAGTGTAGTACAGTATATATATAATAAAATATAATTATTATAAAAGTTGTTATTAAAGATATTAGTTATATATAAAAAAAAGTTATGAAAGAAATAAAAACTTATGGAAATAAAAATCTAGAAGTCGAGGAATGGTATCTTTTTTTGTGGTGATTATTACAGATCCATAGGTTTTAGTATATAATTAGTTTACGTGTGCTGACAGAAACAGATATAAATTATATATATATATAATTAAATGATGATTTGATTTTTTAGCAGATAAACAGTGGGTAACGGTGTTATCATCGTCATCATCATCATCATCATCGATGGTACCATATCTTAAGTAAATAATTTTATTTATTAGGTATTGTTAAAACTTTAAGGTAATAGTGTCCACACAAAAAAAACATTTATAATTATTTATGTGATACCTTTGTTTCAAGTGTATGACATCCCGACATCCCATCCCATGTTTGACAGCTGTTGTCAATTTTTTTATTTATTTATCACATTTATCTATTAATTTTTCAATAATATAAATATATATATATATATATATATATATATATATATATATTGTTTAAAATATATCATTTAAAAAAATTAGTAAATAATATCACAAATAGCAAATAAAAACATACTTTTTGAAGCAATTAAATATTATTATTATATTAAAGTTGTTATAATAGTTGTTATGATTTTCATTATTATTATACAAAAATATTTATATAGCAATTATATTATTACTAAATAATAATAGTTATAATTATAAATAAATAACTTTTTTTAAAAAATTAAAAACTAGTGCTAAACTAAAAAAAATTTAGTGCAAATTTTATCATAACTACTGTGATATGATTTGTGCTCAACTATACAGTGACTATATATATAAGTGACTAAAACTTTATATAAATACTTTAGACTAAAAACCTTAATATCAATTGAAAATATTTAATAGTTTAACTGACAAATCATAAAAAAACAAAATTTAATCACATTTTTTGTTTGTTTGACCGTTAGAAATGACGACAATATATATATCTAATGTTATCAATAAACGGTTGGACCGTATGATTCAATATATTTTTATATAAAAATACAGATACAGCTGTCACTGATTTATATACATATACTGTATATTAGACATAACTTTGCTATATATTTCCCATAAACCACTGTTCAATATGTATGAACTATGTGTATACTGTATTGAAATATACTAACGGCACGCGCGACATACAACTGTTTCACACACACACACACACACACACACACACACACACACTGGTATATACCGGTATAAATATACAACACTATTACCAAATGCTAAGGGCATCCCATCCCTTGCAATTGAATGCCATTGGATGCCATCACCGCATCATATAATGAGAAAGTGCGGGTGAGTCAGTATGTATGTATGTGTGTGTGTGTGTGTGTGTAAGTGTGTGTGTGTTTGAGTTAAGAGAGAGAGAGAGAGAGAGAGAGAGAGAGAGAGAGAGAGAGTGAGAGTACAATACCCTTAAATGAACAGCTGTCTCGCACGTCTAGTTAGAGAGAGACATACAGCTAAACCTTAAAAATATGATACAAACCAGAGCACACGCGGCACGCGCCTAACACGTACTATTGAATGCCCAGACAGGGTGTTACTCTCTCTCTCTCTCTCTCTCTCTCTCTCTCTCTCTCTCTCTCTCTCTCTCTCTCTCTCTCTCTCTCTCTCTCTCTCTCTCTCTCTCTCTCTCTCTCTCTCTTCTCTCTCTCTCTCTCTCTCTCTCTCTCTCTCTCTCTCTCTCTCTCTCTCTCTCTCTCTCTCTCTCTCTCTCTCTCTCTCTCTCTCTCTTCACATATATATATATCTATCAGCTGCTGACTGTGCTATACAACCACTGTGTATCCAATGGTAACCCAATTGACATAATCATTGCAAATGATTGAATTGATCGATAAATTTTTGAGTCTCGAGTCGTCAGAGAGAGAGAGAGAGAGAGAGAGAGAAGACTAGTAGTCATTGTTAGAGTAGTTCTTCTGTTTCCAACATTTCTCTAACAAACAAATCACACAAAAAACAAACAAAAAATTAATATTTTATATATATATCTATCTAAATATAAATACATATCTTATATTATAATTAATTGTATATAGTTTTTGTTGTGTGTGTCTTATATTTGTTGTTGTTGTGTGTATATATATAAATTAAGTATTATTATTTTTTTGAAAAAAATACTGTATATTATAGTAATTGTAATGAATATTTAATAAACAATGAGATAAATAAATAAAATAAAATATGATTGAAAATCATATCAAAAAAATGAAAGTCAAAGAAGAGTCGATACCATTGAGATTCGGATGCGATGATCACTGGCACTGGGATTGCAATGATAAGTCAAATGAGGTTTGTTTTGTTAAAATATTTATTTATTTATTTTTTATTAAAAAAAAGATATTTTATTAATTTTGTAAATCAAAGAGAGAAACAAAAAAAAAATAATTTATTTTCTTTAAAAAACTGTTTCTTATGTTATCTCTGATGAAATCTAATGTACTCTATGTCTGCTATGTATTGATTATATATCGTTATATATATATATATATTAAAAAAGGTTGTGATGTATGGACCAGATCTGGTGACCGCACACTTCCATCCGAAATGGAGTAACGGAACCGCTGCTGTCAGAGGCACCAGAATTGTTAATCGGTGTTCCGCAAGATTTTATTGGGAAGTAAGTCATATCACAATCGGCAGCACATGTATGCCAGCGATAGTATATATATATATATGTGTGTGAAAATGAGTGAGTGAATGAGTGAGTGAGTGAGTGAGAGAGAGAGAGAGAGAGAGAGAGAGAGAGAGAGAGAGAGAGAGAGAGAGAGAGAGAGAGAGAGAGAGAGAGAGAGAGAGAGAGAGAGAGAGAGAGAGAGAGAGAGAGAGAGAGAGAGAGAGAGATGAAAGAGTGGGTGAATGAGTGAGTGAGAGAGAGAGAGAGAGAGAGAGAGATAGCGAAAAGGTTGCTATAAAAACCACTGCTTATGTATGTATGTACTGTATGTGTGATGTCTGTGTAAGCAATGATAGGAAAGCAGGAAACTGACAAATATTTATGTATAATATGTTTTCTCTTTTTTTTTAAATAAAAATAAATGTATGGTTAGATAGAGATAAGCGACCGTATATTTGGCACAAGTATGATGTTTGGTGTGGCCACCAAATCGGCCCGACTTCACGCCGACTCGTTTGTCAATATCGTTGGCGAAGATCAGCATAGCTTTGGATTGTATAGGCTTTTGTTTTTAGTTTATTTCCATCCCCCCATAATTTCCCCTTATTTTTTGTTGTTGCTGTCAAACTGATCCCATTTAAGGAAAGCCCCCTAACTTTTCTATTATGTGTTTAATATATTAATAGATCACACAAAGGTCTGCTCTGGCATAACGGTCGCTGGCAGTCGTATACCCGACCATTCCGTGAAAACGAGTCGACAACTGTCGGACTGTTGTACGACTCGAGAGAGGGAACACTCAGTTATTTCAAAGATCGGATATTTCTGGGCATTGCCTTCACTGGTCTTAATCTCATTGACGACGACTTGTATCCCATAATCAGCTCAACGGCAGCAAAGACTGAGATGACTGTCAGTAATATGCGTCGAGAATATTATAATCTACAGGACAGGTATGTCATATAAAACATATTGAGTGTGACCATCCTATAACTGACAACTTGTGTCAACTGTCATTTTTTTTGGTGGGGGGGGGCGGATCAGATGTCGGGATGTAATCTTGAGGAGTGTCCAAAACAGATCCGATGTAATGCTACTAAAGCTGCCGATGGTTATGGAAAAATACTTAAGAAACGTATCCATCGATGATGATGACGACGGCCACCACCATCACCATCGCAATCAGCACAACAGTAGACACCGATTGTTAAGACAACAGCAGCAACAACAACAACAACGCAAATCAATGGCAATCAGCGGATCATCTGGTGATCAGCAGCAGTCAAAAGAGTCGTCGTCGTCGTCGTCATCGATGACACACTTTCATCATTCGCTGTATTCCTCCTCATCCTCCTCCTCCTCGTCCTCGTGTGCCGACTCGCGGAACCACTGGAATAATCGGTATAATCATTCAAAGACACCATTCCTCGAGCTTTGAAGCCTTTTAAAACTTTTCTTTAAAATCTCTCTCTTAAACATTCATAATATTTCTTCTCATAAATTATCAAATAATACTAATAGTATTTATTATCAAATATTTAATAATAATCTTTAAAACTTTTATTTTTGTTTCTTTTTTAGTTAACTTTAATAATTTTCTTAACTATATTTTTACTTATATCTAAAAAAAACCTAAAAAAATACTAATTAATTATCTATGATATATACAATATAGTACCTTATATTAATACTGTACCATATATATTGATATATATATATATATACTTAAACTTAAAAATACAATGGTAAAACTTAACTATTTAGTTAGTGTTAATTAAATTAGTAATTATTTTATAAATTATATATATATATGTGTTGTAAATAAAGTAAATATATTTTAAGCCCTAACATAAGATTCACATACAAATGTTGTCATAATTTTTTTTGTAACTTAAATATTTGATTACAACCAACATATTCATGGCTAACATTTTATGTTAAAATGAATCTTAACTTATACTCAAAAACATTCCCAATTGTATATAAAAAAAAACAATATTTTAATTTATTTATTTATTTATTGAAAAACAAATTCAATTCTCAAGTCATTTGTTTCATTAATAAAATAAAACATTTTTTTTTATTAATGACACAAATGTAGAGTAAGAGTGGAAATCTAGTCATTAAACTCTTATGAAATAAATGTAATATTTGCTAAAAAAACAAACATTTTTAAGCAAACATTTATGCATTAAATTTAAATAATTGTAATATAATTTATATATATTTAAATTAAAAAAAAAAATAATCTTATATTTATTATAATCCATTAATTAATTAATTAAAAAATTGAAATAAATATTAATTTAAAATTAATTTACTTATTTTTAATGTTGTAATGTTAAGCATACAGTTTAACAACAATTAATCAATTAAATCAAAATTGATTCATCATTTAATTAACGGTAATATTATTATTATTATTATTAAAAAAAATCTAAATTTTTTCATTCAAACTATTTATTTATTTATTTCTCTGTCGATGGATTCGCTTGCAATGCTTTAGCCATAAATAGTTTTGAAATGTTTTGTGTGGCATACGATGCCGATTGTTGGCAATGATTCAACGTTTGACTATAATTAAGAAGCGATTCCAGACGTTGCAACGGTGCCAATGGTTTCAATATCTTGTTTACCTCATCTTCGGTAAGCGGAGGTTCGCCTCTCTGGGCTCTCAGTGCGTTCTCTTTGGCCACGTGTTGCTGTTTACCAGTTTGTTGGCGCAAATGATTGGAGTGTTTGCTAACATCTTCTATACATTTCATCTGTGTTTGCATTGTCTTCTCCAGACCACCGAAGCCGCCCATATCGAGCAATTGTTTGCCACAGTCGACAGGCATATCTTCGTCAACTTCGCACAGCAATGCGTTAATCAGATGCGAGTTCTTAATCCTCAGCGGTATTTCTTCGAAAAACTTTTCGAACGACATCTTATTATTCCTCAACGTTTCGGCGGTAAACTCGCCTTCTTTGCATAATTTCATTGCCGTATTGGTTAGCCGATAGGCTTTCAACGATAGAAAGCCACGACTTGTACGAATCGGATCGTAGAATAGGACAACTGATTCTTCGATAGCCGATTGATACATATATTGTGAATCAATTGTCTCCAATTTGCTGATCTGACTGCCGTACGGATTGTTTTGATACCAACCGACGTGTAGGTGATCCACATTAACGTTACGCAAGTGTCTCATCATAACGCACTGGTACTCCACTACAAGACAAAATAAAACATATTATTTAAGTATTAATTAATTATCAGAGACTCTTATTGTGGTGGAGGAGGAGGAGGACATACTTTCGTCGGTTTCGTCGTCCTCAGTGTTTCGGGGAAATGCAAAACAATTGGTTATTTCCAGACGATTGTCGACTACGAGACCCAACAGTACGCCCTGTACTTCGCCGGATGAACCGCCGCCGCCGATGCCCTCTTCGTGACAATGTTTGATAATCTTTAGTACAACCTTTTAAGATAACAAACAAACAGATGGGTGGATCAGTTGATGATAATTATAATAATAAGAGATAATCCAAGTTAGCCGACAACACCAAACAACATACCAGTCCATCAATTTGGACGCAATCGATAAGTGTTTCCCGATTTTGTTGATTACGACGTCTGAATCCGTGCATCGATGCCATCTTCAGTCAGTCAGTCAGTTAAGTGATGATCTCTTTATGATGTGATGGACACGAAAAAAGTGGTCAAACAATTGATGTTGTGTTATATACACTGTATATAACTAAACAAACAGATTATATGCTATTACTGTTTCAATAAACGCCACGTGAATAATGGCTGATATACTGTATATATTATAACCAGGGTTTTTAACAGAAAATAAATGCCTGCCCTGGCAATGCCCAAATAGATGCTTAAAAATACCTGCCAATTTAAATTGCCAAAAAAGTAACTGTATTTATATAAAAAAATAATGTAATTTAATGTTTTTTTAGCGTGTTTATTAAATTTACAAACTTAATATACTTATTTCCAATGATATTATCTTTTAATTATAAGATATACAAAACAAAAATACATACAAATATATCGAAGAAAACCAATATTTTTATAAATTAATTAAATAATATAAAATTAAGATAATAGGTGTCATCATCTGAAACATAGATCCGGAGCATTTTAATGTTGATAATAACAATTGTTAGTCAACTATTATCGCTTTAGATAACGAGACCAAATAAATAAATTAATTAAATTTTCATAAATTATATTAATATTCATTTTTTAAAATTTATAATTGATAATAAAAATTACATGAGTATTAAAAATATTTTTTATGTAATTTTTATTTAGTAATATAATTTAATATAAAGTTTGTGTGCTTATTTCAGCTTATCAGCTATTATTCAATATATTGTTTTATTTGATTTCAACTTTAACTCATTCATTCAAAATTATTAAATAGTAACGAATTTATGATCTGAAAATACAGATTCCCAGGTCATGGCCAGAGGCAGGACATGGCATTTATGCAAAATTGGCATCTATTGTTTAATGACTGCCAGTTTTTATTTTAAAAACCCTGCCAATGACTGTCAATGTATTCAATGTGTTGGCGGCGATTGATTTTTTTTTTTTTAGTGAGAGGTGTCCTCTATTGACATCAAAATGTGACCACAATTTTCATTTACTACTACTGTTGTTGATGTTGTCGATGATTTTGGTGACGAAATATCGGTAAAACATAAACACAAAACCCCCGCCCGTGAAGACCATCGGTGGACACCAATTGTCTGTTTTGATGATAATATAGATTAATGGCGACAAACAAGTCGATTGAAAGTTGAAGATTGAAGACATAGAAGATCTCTCACTTTTTCCTTCCCGATTGACCGACTGATCAATTGGTGGCCACCGCCGCGCACGCAATGAGTGGTATCGGTGGCGGCGTTGGTGGTGGTGGTGGCGGCGGCGGTAACAGCGAATCAATTGGTTGGACACTGAATCTAGTGAACAGTGTTATCGGCGTATCGTTGCTGTCGATGCCGTTTTGTTTCAGAAAGTGTGGTATAATCCTATCGATTGTATTGATAGTATTGTCATCGCTGGTCAACCGATTCAGTTGCTATCTGTTACTCAAGTCATCCGTTTTGGCCAAACGCCGCAACTATGAACTGTTAGCATTTCATACGTACGGATCGGCCGGCAAACTGTTGGTCGAAGTTTGCGTACTCGGCTTTCTGTTGGGCACTTGTATCGCCTATTTTGTAGTCATCGGCGATATCGGTCCCCGACTAGTATCGCAAGCCTTGGACATACCTAACGGGCCACAGTTGCGGGCCGTAGTGATGACACTGTTGGGAATGTTTGTCGCCCTACCGCTGGCACTGCTCCGACGGGTCGACAGTTTGACATCGTTTTCGATGCTATCGTTAGGACTCTATATATTTCTCGTACTCAAGATGCTGTCCGAGGCCATGACCAACACTGCCCGACACTCATCGTCATCATCGGAGGACATACTGTGGAATGAGATAAACTATTGGGACTCAACACACGTATTCTCTTCGTTGCCAATCTTTTCGATGTCACTCTCCTGTCAGACACAACTGTTCGCTATATTTGATTCATCGATGATTCTTCACAACAACGATATCAATAGCTTAAGTAAAATGATGTCATCAGTAAATCGATCGTTGAATATATGTCTGGCCATCTATATTATGGTCGGCGTTTGCGGTTACGTAGCCTTCAGTGACCAGCCGTTTGGCGGAAATATTTTATTATATTTGCCGTCGGGTTTTGTATCAACCTTTACATTAGTAGCCTTTGTTATGACTGTTCTGATTAGTTTTCCCTTATGTCTGTTCCCGTGTCGTACATCATTACACTCGCTATTATCCCGTAAGGGAACGACACCATTAATTTCGACAACATCGCCGTCGATACACATGTCTGACCAACATTTCAAAATGTTAACCATTTTGTTGATAATCGTTACGATTGGCGTATCAATTATATTGCCCTATATTGAGATAGTATTGGCAATATTGGGCTCGACTATCGGCGCTGTCATATGTTTTATATTGCCGGCACTGATCTTCATGAGAGTGACCACAAAGAATACAACCGAACGACTATTAGCCAAACTGGTGGTCATCACTGGTGTATTCATATTAATAATTTGTACATTTTCTACATTAAATGATATCTATTTTGTTAAAAATATTAATAATAATAATAATATCGCCGAAGATATTGTTGCGAAGACAGCAGATCCGAGTTCTTTACCAAAGGAAAAGCCTATTATTCATACAGACATTCCTCTGATTAATAATAATAAAGACAACAATCAATTAAATGGAGATAAAAAAGATGATAATAAGAGACTTGAAAATCATATCAAACAAAAGATTAGTCAATTGGTTAACGACCAGAAGGGGCCGTCAGTTGTTTCCGTTGTGACAGCAATTGTTGACACAAATAAAGCCAAACGACAGGAGGAACTGCTTCAGCGTCTGGAGAAACAACAGTTGGAACACAAGAAACTATTGGAACAACAATTGAGACAACAAAACGAAATTATCGATCAATTGAAACGACATAACAAATTACACGAAGAAAATAATAATAATAATAAACTAGTCGTCGAAGATCACCACCACCAACAACAACAGCAACATAAAGAACTGGTCATCAATAACACAGCAATGGATGACCGGAAGATATTATTACCGAAAAATGTGGTCACAAATAATAATAATAATAATAGTAAAGATAGTAAAAGCATTGGTGACCAACAACAACAACAACAACAACAACAAGTCATTAATGAACCACCGATTTTGCCTCAAAAGCATATCAATAATAATAATAATAATAATAATTTTAAATCTAATAATAATATAAGTCGACAACAAATTGTTTCAAAGAAAATTAACAACAAATCCAATGGTGATCTTTTCTTTAATGCTAATAAAGTTGTGGTCAAAGATAACAATAATAATTATAATTATAAATTTAATGTTAGTTTACAACAACAACAAGTGTTGGCTAATAATAATAATAATAAGAAAAATTTGGTCAAAAATAAGACAATAATTAATAATAATATTAATAATAATCTGCCGATTGTTTTGGTCACCAAAGTATTGAACACTTCCAATGAGACTTCAAATAATAATGTTTTGCCCGATAAATCAATTCAACGAAATATTTTATGGAAATTTTAGCAAAATTTGTTATTTTTTTTAAATAATTAATTTATTTTAAAAAAAATAATTAATTTTATACTATTTATTAATTAATTAATAACTGTATATTTTGTCCTAATATGCAAAAAAAAATATTTTTAAATTGTTTTTTAAAAAAAAATAATAATAAAATTCTGTTTTTTAAATATGTTTACCAAAAAAAATCTTTAATTTAAAATTTACTATTTATTATAGAGAAATAAATTTTTATATTATATTTTAAATTTTATGTATGATTTATGTGTGAGAAAAATTAGTTTATCAAACTTAAGGGTTATTTATTTTTATATATATATAAAAAAAATTAATAAATAAATTGATTTATCAACTAATTTCATACAAAGTCGGCACCATTTAAAACCAATAAAAAAATTGTGATAATTTATTAATTAAGAAAATAATAATAATTATTATGTTTCTTTAAAAAAAGAAAATTACCTGGAAAGATTATATATTATGATAATTAAATAATGTGTAACACTTTTTTAACCAATTAAATAGTAATTTGTTAATGAAAAAAATAAACATTTACAGTATGTTGTTGTCAATCTACTGATGGTTTGTTTGATTAATTTTAATTAATTTATTTATTAACTAAGTTATACTATTAGTAGTAACCCATCCATAGATTTGTCATTGACTTATCAAATAAATTTAATTTATAATTTTAGATTAAGAGAGTTGTAGTAATAAAACTTATTAAATTTGTTTTTTTATAATTATTATTTCAATTTAGTATACAACTTAAGCTTACTTAATATTTTGTAATAATTTATTTTTTCTTTAATTTTGTTAAATACCTTAATAGCACATTAATTTTCAATAAAGAAATAATCATTTTTTTTAAATAAATAAATAATTAAATTACATTAATTGATTTAATTAATTAAATTAAACTGAATAATTAAATATTTTTATTGTATATAATTTATGTTATTTATCTATATAATAATAATGATAATAAATAATTCATTTATTATATATTTTATTTAAATATTTATATAATACATTTAAAAAAAAATTATTTTTAATACAATTAGAATTTTTTTTCAAATGATAATTATAAACATTAGAAAAATATAAAATTTTATAATTAATATATAAATGAAAATTAATGATAATTTTATGCATTATTATTTTTTGTGTAAATGTGTGTTAAATTATTTATTGTCAAATCAATAGTAGAAAGTAATTATTAATTAAACCACATCTGCAGTATTAGTTATCAATTTTTTTTAAAATAAAACTATAATATTTTTTTAACTTTTAAACATTATAATAAACTACTGTATAATAATAAATTAGTTTTTTATTTGATTACTTTATAGAGAAATAAAACTAAAAGTGAAATTTTTTTATTTTATTTCATTCAATAATTTATTAAATCAATAATAGATATAATTTACAGCATATTTGCTAATTAATTACTCATTTTATTAATGATATTTGAAATTAGCTTTTTTAAAAAAATATTAAAACTTAAAAATAGCCTATATATTGGTCTCAATGTCTTATTAATAAAAAAAAAATATTACTATATTATTATTATCAGCAGATGCGTGAAATTATGATCTTATAATATACTGTATATAATGTATTAAAACTTATGTTTAAAGTTTTTTTTTATATAAATATATTAATAAATATATTTTAGTGAAAGTGATGACGCGTGCCATCAACACTGTATCATCAAATTAATCAATAGTTTTTTTGTGTGTGTTATTTAGCTTTATTAGTATTAGTATTATTATTATTACACTATTACGGTAAATGTTTTTTATATATACAGTATATATAGTATATATGAAATGTGGGTTATTTGCATAACCATATATCCTAAATGTGTGTATTAATTAGTCTATCAATAAACTAACTGTTTTTTTTAATAAAAAATAAACACTTAACTAAACTGATAATTTTTAAAAAAAAAATCTATTCAAAAACAATTGTCAAATTAAATCGTGCTTAACTTTATTAATAAAAAAATTGCTATTATTATTATTATATTAGATTACATTGTTTTTAAATAGATATATTTATTCAACAAAAAATCACATAAATAATATATTACTAATATATAGAAAATATTTATAATTACTACTTATATACACATAAAAATTTTTTTAATTAAAATTCATTACCACAAGCATTTTATACAGTATTATATATATATAATTATAATATAATATTAAACAAATATCAATTAATTGCATTAAACAAAACAAAAAAAAACAACACTTGATTATTAGCAGACATCTGCCAAAACTTCCTGAATAAAACAGAAAATTAAATCAAAAACAGTGTATATATATATATATATATATATATATATATATACAGTATATATTGTATATAACAAAACATATACTACACTAAGTTTTATATACAGTAAAGTATATAATAAGTCAAATAAATGGGAAGACCTGTCTGTCAGGGGATGATATGTTTGATCAGTAAAAACAATATAATGTGTGGCAATGCTTATGGAGATCATGATAGGGAGGGTATGATTTCTCTCTCTCTCTCTCTCTCTCTCTAATTTACTCACTTATTGAACATTTATATATCACAAACTATAACATAATAATAATAGATGTTTTACTTTATGCATATAATATAAAAACATATAATTGCATAACAATATTGTTGCTGTTATTTTCAATAAAATTTTATTTTTATTTTTTTTTTGGGCTTACATTTTTACAAATATGTTTAAACAATTATAATGCTAAAAATAATAATAATAATAAGTTTTAAAATTTTAGTTGATTTGATGTATGAATAAAAATATTTTTCTTATTTTTAAAATATTAAAACTTAAATATTTAACAACACAATGCATAGAAAATTTATATAAAAGTATATATATTGTAACTTAAATTGTTTGGCAAAAAAATATATGGCAATCAATGCTAAAAATAAATTTATTTTCATTGTTTTTAAGTCATATTTTTCCTATAAAATACAATTAATATTTTTAAAAAAAATATTTCTATAATTAATAGGAATATTTATTTTTTTTTGGTTTAATAATTGTTATTAATATTAATTATGAAAATTTTGAATTTTATAATTTTTTTTTTTAAAAATCAATTTGCTGTACATTAAATTATTTGATATCAAAAAAAAATATTTGAAGTTTTATTATAAAAGATAACATGAAAGTGTATATTCATATATATTTTTAAAAAATATTTATGTAAAATAAATAATTTTTACTATTATGTAATATCAAATATATCGTAATGTTATATATATATATATATATATATATATTAAAATATATATAATATAACCATAATATAGCCTGAGATAACTAGACACAGATATAATATCAAATTGCTAGCAAATTGTGTGATTAGTCACTACTGTATATAATAATAATAATAATAAAAATAAAATAACTTAAATGTTCAATAAGATGCTTATCAATTGAATTATTATAGTTGTTATTGAGATAACAACAGTTTAGCTATAAAAATGCTTTTCAAATAATCCAACAAAAAAATAAAATACTCTTTAACTTAGTATTTAAGCGAAACATTCACTCAACAAAAATTTATGTCTCATTATTTAGTCACTTATATTCTTGTCAATGATTATCGTATACTAACTATTATACTATAGAGTGGTATATACTGTATATATATATAATATGTGGATTTAACAGCCAAACAAAACAGTAGTCGATCTCAATATCATGTTATCAATAGTCAATAAAAATAGGCTATCATTGAGAGAGAGAGAGAGAGAGAGTATCGGACAATCAAATGACAGTTTGACTGTCCTCTCGTTTATACAATTTATAGCATAGTGTGTGTATGTATGTGTTAACAGTGTCAACACAATTATATGTAATTTATATGTAGAAAAGTTAGTGAAAACTAATCAAAATTACTGTATATTTATAGACAGTAAACAGTATTGTACTATATTTTTATAGTTGTTAAAAAAGGATTAGAGAGTTATATAGTTATATATATATATACGATATATAGATATGAGTAAACTTAGTGTCTCTATGTTGTTGTTGGTGTTATGGATGAATAGGTTGCCTCTAATCCCTCCCTCCCACTACTCGCGCATCCACACACTCATAGCTGAATGATATATATATATATATATATAGAGAGAGAGAGAGAGAGAGAGAGAGAGAGAGAGAGAGAAAGAGAGAAAGAGAGAAAGAGAGAAAGAGAGAAAGAGAGAAAGAGAGAAAGAGAGAAAGAGAGAGAGAGAGTTATAGTGAAAGAGAGGGGAAATGGGATGTATCGAGAGCTGAAAGCGGGCGGTCCTATCCATCTGTAGGTGCGATACAATGGCATCAAATACACACACATATCATACTATAGACTATATATATGTGTCAACACTATCTCAACCACAAAAAACAAGATTTTTTAAGTTTTTTCCCGACAAACACACGTTGTGTTAATCATTGAACAAAAAAAACAGCTAAAAGTTTTACAGAATTTAACAGAATTTCCGTTATTTTTTAAATATAAAAATAATGTTAATTTTAATGTAATAATTAATTAATTAATTAGTTCTAGTTAGTAATTTGTTATAATTTTATGTATGTATATATATAAAGTTTAAATTGAATACAAATTTATTTTAAAAAATAAATGCAAAGTTAATCTTTTGCTTATTAATATATTAAAAAAAATTGATTTAAATTGTAATGAACAGTATGTGTCAAAGTAAAAGTATCAGTGAATATAATAATAATAATAATGATAATAACAGTAGTAATACTCATCACGAGTGGGACATCAATGATAATCACATACCAAAAGTAAGTCACATTCAAATATTTGTCATTTTTTTACTTTTTTCCAAAAAAAAATAGTTTTTATATTATAAAAGAAAATAGTTTTACAGTAAAAAACTTATGTACAACAACAACAAAAAATGTGTGACCACTGTTTAAATTCAACAATCATATACTGTGTATGTTGTGATCAAAAAATAAATAATGATTTTTATCGCAATAAGCTTTTTAAATAGCTGTCAAAAATAAAATCCTAATCAATTTGTTTATCTCTATTTCTTATTCAATATAAATTTAGTATTAGTTTAACTATCTATAAATATATATATATTAAACAGTTAGACACTAATAATAATAATAAAAAAAAAGTATAGCAAACATTAGAAATAAAAATTTAAAAAATTTTTATTAGAAATAAAATAGTTATTCAACAAAAAAATTATTTTTGGTATTCAATACAACCAAAAAAAACATATATAACTAAATAATAAAATAAATGCCGACTTAACTATTTGTCGAAACGTATTTTAGACAACAACAACAAAAATTTTATTTATAGTTAAAAATGAAATGATGTTTCGATAAAATCAAAAAATTTCATGTATTTTATTATTATTATATAACTTTTAAAACTTTTATGCAATAATAATAATAATAATTTCAATACATTTAAGAATTCAAATATCTTTTATTTATTTTTTTGTGTATATTTAAAAAAATAAAAATTAACTTTATATTTTTTTAATTAAAAATATGAAAACATAGTTATTATAGAAAATATTTATTGTTTAAAAAATAATATTGTATGACTAAATTATATAAATTATTTGAATCGTAATATATTGTAAAATATTTTTTTTTGATAACTATAGTTTATATATAATGTTATCATCTAGCACAATAGTTAAATAACTAT